AATAACTGCCCTGGACTCTTGAGACGGTCATGGTCGAGAAGGGCGAAGACTGAGCAGCTCCCCAGGTTAAAGGATACTGAAGACACATGGTAGTCAATGTGCAGTTATGGCCTGGATTATGGAAAATAAAAATAGCTCTAAAGGCATTAATGGGATAGTGGAGGAAATCTGAGTTTGACCTTGGATTAGTGACCAGTATTGTATGGGTTGGAGTGCCTGCTGCCCTTAGCCTGTGGTGAGAATAGAGCCTCTGTGACTTACAGGTAAGGGAGTGATGTGTTGCTCTGACCTTAGCACTGGAGATAGGAGGAGCTGTCCACTAGCCTGAGAACCTGCCTCCAGCGGCTACAGTGAGTTAGGCAGGCATGGCTGGCTCCTCGTCACCGTCCAAGGAGCGAAAGGTGGAAAAGCCAACAAGTAACATTTTCAAAGTGCCTGAGTGTACAAATGTCTCTTTGAGACCCTGATTTCAATTCTTTTGAACACATACCAAGATGTGGAATTACTGGATTATGTGGTAATTCTGTTTTAAGTTTTAGGAACTGCCACACTGCGTTTCATAGTGGCTGCACCATTTTACATTTCCACCAGCAACGCACAAGGTTCCAGAGAAATTGAAAGTAACCACCAACCTAGAATTCCAACCCAGTGAAAATGTCCTTCAAGAATGAAGGAGAAGTCACCTGAAGTAATAGAAAATAATACTGAATGTCAACTCTAATTGAAAAATAAAAATTAAAAAAAGAATGAAGGGGAAATAAAGACCGTTTCAGACCAACAAACATTGAGAAAACGTCACCAACTAAAGGAGACACTCAAGGATGTTCTTCAGGCAGAAAGAAAATGCTCTCAGGTAGAAACTCCTGGATGCAGAGAAGAAAGGGCACCTATGGGGATAACTCTAGGTGACTGTCAACAGGTAAAACAATACTAATAATGTCCTGTGGGGTTTAAGACATACAAAGAATTAAAATACAGGATACTGATAGCACATCAGTGTGTGGAGGAGGTGAATAGAGTTGATTCTGACCTTGTGTTGCTTGGGAAGAGGTAAATGCACTTATTTGGATTCTGATACATCAAGAGTACCTATTGTCATCTTCATGGGAAGCACTAAAAGAATAGTAGAAGGATTGCTTTATTGGAGGAGGTGGAACATAAAAAATATTCAAAAAGAAGGCAAGAAAGAACGAAGGAAAACAAAACAGACATGACAAAGCAAGTTAAGATGGCCCCACTCCTAGTAATCACACTAAATGCAGCTGGGCCAAGTGATGTAATTAAAAGAAAAAACTGTCAAACTGGATCTTAACCAAAGACACCAAAGTGAGAGAATATAGAAAGGTTAAATGTAAAAAGATGGGAAACAAAGTCCTGCAAATAGCCAGAGAGCAGGCAACATAGAGGCAGAACGTGGGCCTTGGGGTAGTGTTTGTGCGGACCCCATCAGGGACTTTGAAAGCTCCAAAGGAGTTGGGTATTTCCCTAGATGCACCACTTGGGAAATTGGCCGTGCTTGCTGTGTCTGTACCTGTGTGGGTGTATGCACACCAGCACACACGCACACATACATGCATGCACACACACTCCCTCTTACCTCTGGTCCTGGAGTCCCCCACATGACATTTTCTTTCATACAGCATTGGCCAGAACTTTCTTCGTCACATCAGCCTGCAGTGAAGGCCCAGTGGCTCTGTTTTCTATGGCGAGAAGTGAGCACTTCACTGTCTGAAAGTTTAAAAAGATAAACAGGTGACTTGGTAGTACTTCCTCCTTTCTCTTCTTTTTGTCCCTTTGTCCTCTGAACTTGGAGAACATGCACATAATGGGCTTTGCTCTGCACTGGAGGCTGTAGAAAATTAAGATGTCACATTAAAGATAGATTTTTCTATATATGTGAAAGACATGCCTGGGACCTGTCAGAGGAGGAAGGCAGGCAGGCAGTCTTAGGCCACATCAAAGTCTGAGACTTGGTCCTGCTAATGGCGGTTCCTGCTCAGTGGGGGAAGGTGAAGGTGGGTATGTCCGTGTGTGCGGGGGCTTGTCTGTGGGCTTGGGCTTCTGTGCTGTGAGGGCTATGATGCCTTTTTTTATTTAATTTGAATTCTCTTTTGTTTATTTGACCAAATGAGTGTTTATAGAAAGTTAGCAAAGTTTAATATTCCTTAAATGTAACGGAAAGTGAAAACCAGTTCAACCCTTAGCTGTAATATAGATTTCAGTGCAGTGGTTGTTATGGTGATGATATTGGTGCTTTTATTTTTTTAAGTACCGGAAGAATAACAGTGTCATTTAAAAATAATAGCTTATGATACTTAACAAACTTGATGTTGCAGACTCACACCATTCGTCTGCTCTGTGTCAGGTACAATCTAGACAAGAAGATATAAACAGATAGGACCCAAGGACAGACATCCACATCTCTGAAGGTGTCCCCATCCTTCCTGTAAGCCTTTGGACCTGATGCATTCCCAAGAACCTTTGTAGCCCTGCCCCTGCTCTCATTTGGCAGGAACATGTTAGTAACCTCCAGAGAAGCCCTCAGGCTGCAGTGGGTGAGTCAGAAAGATTGCGTGTGGTGTTGGACAGTGACTAACCCCTCTGGGCATTATTCCCCCTCTGTGGCACCAGAATAACAAGCATCTGTTTCCTGAGCTAATGGGTAAGCTGTGTAGCCGAGTCACTGTCCACTGCTATATCCTTGATGGCTGGAATAGGAGGATCATTGACCGTGGTTGGCACTGTTTTAGTGTTTGTGGCTTCCAGTGTTGTTC